GGACTGAAAGGGATATGATCGTGGATCTTAGGAGATTAGTGGAACCTGGCATCATGTGACTTCAAGGGACAACAGTGTCTGCTGGGTCTTGAAGTTCTACTGTCAGAGGACCACTTCTTCCAGGGAAAGAATCTTAAGAACCTATGACTTCACCCAGTTCTACTGGTCACTTCTCCCCGCCAACCATAAAAATGCAATAAAAGTATGAAGAATTTCATCAACAGATGAATGGATAAACAAAATGCGGTATATAATGTAGCATACATATGAAATGTAATACACACACAACATTCCTTAAACAAGGAATGAAATTCTGACACATGCTACAACATGGATAAACCCTGAAACATTAACAAACCTTGAAATAAGCCAGTCTCAAAAGGGCAAATATTGTATGATTCCACTTAAATGGGGTACCAGGATAAGCAAATAAATAGATGTAAAAAAGTCGAACAGTGACTTACCAGGGGCTAGAGTAAAGGAGAATGGGGAGTCATTGTTTAATGGGCACCAAATTTCTGTCTGAGATGATGGAGAGTTCTAGAAATGGATGGTGGTAATGCTTGTACAACAGTGTGAATGTCCTTCATGCTACTGAGTTGTACACTTAACAACTGTTAGTAAATGGTCGATTTTATGCTATGTATATTTTATATACAAAATATGTTTAAGTATGAACAACGGCATTGCTTAAGAAAACATGACTAGCCCTGGCCAGTTTGGCTCAGCGGTTAGAGCGTCGGCCTGCGGTCTGGAGAGACCCGGGTTCGGTTCCCGCTAAGGGCACATACTTTGGTTGCAGTTTGTCCCTGGCTCTGGTTGGTCGTGCAGGTGGCAGCCACTCGATGTGTCCCTTCACGTCGATGTTTCTCTCTCTCTCTCCCTTCCTCTCTCTCTCTCCCACTCTATCTGTACAAAAAATGGAAAAATACCCTCGGGTGAGGATAAAAAAAAAAAAGAAAAGAAAACATGACTAAGGGTATGTTTAAAATACTATTATTAATAATAGTATAATAAATCATTCACATTAGAAATTATAGGATTATTATGATCAAGAACACTGTAAGAGTGGAAGACGCATGTTAATCAGCACCATTGCACCCCAATTCACAATCTGACAGCAAATTCCTTCATTCTAGTCCAATCTCTTGCTTCTGTGGAGGAATAAATTCAACCATCTGAAGTCAGAATGCTTCATTATTAAACTAAATATTAGAACTATCACAGGCCTCGCGAATACAGGGCCCATATCTGATTAAATGAAGACCCAGTTCCCACTGAATCATCCAGCATAACAATAAAGTAATATCACATATCAAATTTCAAATGTATTATTATTTTATCAAGTTGAGGAAATTATATCATGGAAATACAAAATTATGACTTAATGAACTACTCCCATGGATTAGTTAAGCATCTTGTGTGGAATATTCTATCAGTATATAGACTATGATATAATCAGGTCAAGGAAATTAATCCACACCTATGTTCCCAGGGTATCTCCTTCATAAAGTCTCTGAATAATAGTTTTTTCCTCTCTGGCTTTATATCTTTGGGAGAAAATTATTAATATTTATACTGGATACATTCTTAAAGCTTCTCCAGAGTGCCAAGCAGAAGGATGACTTAGCAAGTAAGCAGTTAATCTGATTATTAGGGAAGCTGGGAAAATAACTTGGACCACAAGGCTAATGACTTGGCTGGATCATTCAGTTGGAATGTTTACCTTATTCATATAAATCTTAACTTCATTTTCTTTTCGTTTTGTGCAACATTTCAGGTGAGGCATGATGTTCTCAGAGAATCATGAGAATGTATCTAGTTGAGGCAGAAATGAATAGCCAATTCAGATTATAATTTTGGCTAAAAAATGTCATAGTCTTTGAGATATTTTTTAAACACTATATTTGAAAAATTGTCTTAATAGAATCATAACAATTAATGTGACGTATGCTACGAATCAGACCCTGGATCAAAAGGGGGCGGAGAGAGGGTTAGAAAGGATATTACTGAGAAAGCTGGCAAAATATGAATATGATCTGCAGATAATAGCATTGTATCAATGTTAATGTTCTGATTTTGCTAACTGTACCCTAGTCATGTAAAAAAGTGCTCTTCCTCTTAGGAAATACACACTAAAGAATTTAGAAGTAAAGAAAAGAGTCATCTCACTCTGAAATCTGAAAATTACTCTCAAATGTTCCAGAATAATGATATAATTGTGTGTGTGTGTGCGCGTGTGTGTGTATGATTGTATAGAAAGAAAAAGTGATAGAAGTGTGATAAAATATTAATTGGGGAATCTGAGTAAAGAGTATGGAAGTTCTTTTTTATTTTATTTTTTTATTTTTTTTATCCTCACCCGAGGACATTTTTCATTTATCTTCAGATAGAGCAGGAGGGAGAGAAGGGGGAAGAGAGAGAGAGAGAGAGAGAGAGAGAGAGAGAGAGAGAGAAATATCGATGTGAGAAAGATACATCAACTAGTTACGCACCCACACGACCCCAACTGGGCAGGGACAAACTGAAACCGAGGTACGTGCCCTTAGCAGGAACTGAACCCAGAACTCTCTGGTTGATGTTCTAACTGCTGAGCCAAACCAGCCAGGGCTGAAAGTTCTTAATACTATTTTTAACTCTTCTATAAGTAAATAATTTCAAAATAAAAATTTACTAAAAATTTTAAAAGTTGACTTAAAAACTCATTTATAGTGGTCCTATGATCTAAAAAAAAAAGACAGATGAAAGTAGCAGGATACAAAATTAACATCAAGAAATCGACGGCATTCTTATACATCAATACTGAACTCACAGAAAGAAAAACTAAAAATAAAATCTCATTTACCATTGTGGCAAAAAAATTAGGATACCTAGGAATAAACTTAACCAAAGAAGTAAAGGACTTATTTGCAGAAAACTACAGGACATTGAAAAAAGAAATAGAGGAAGATATAAAAAAATAGAAGTATACACCTTGTTCATGGATTGGAAGAATTAACATCATTAAAATGTCCGTACTATCCAAAGCAATCTATAGATTCAATGCAATCCCCATTAAAATACCAATGACATTTTCACAGAACTAGAACAAATACTTCAAAAGTTCATATGGAACCAAAAAAGATCCCGAATAGCCACAGCAATCTTGAAAAAGAAGGACAAAGTAAGAGGGATCACAATACCGGATATCAGGTTATACTACAAAGCCACTGTAAGCCTGGTACTGGCACAAGAACAGGTATATAGATCAGTGGAACAGAATAGAGAACCTGGAAATTGACCCAAGACACTATGCTCAATTAATATTTGATAAAGATGGCAAGAGCATTCAGTGGAGTAAAGACAGCCTCTTTAATAAATGGTGTTGGGAAAATTGGATAACTACATGCAAAAAATAAATAAAACTAGACCACTAACTTACACCATACACAAGAATAAACTTAAAATGGATAAAAGACTTAAATGTAACTCATGAAGCCACAAAAATCCTAGAAGAAAATGTAGGCAACAAAATTTCAGACATCACATGCAGCAGAATTTTCACTGATACAACATCTAAGGCAAGAGAAACAAAGGAGAAAATGAACACATGGGAGGACATCAAACTCAAAAGCTTCTGCACAGCAAAAGTATCAAAATAGAAAGGGAATCCACTATATAGGAGTGCATATTTGCCAATGATACGTCAGATAAGGGGCTCTTTTCCAAACTATATAGAGTACACGTAAAACTCAACGAAAGGAAGACAAAAAACCCAATTTAAAAATGGGCAGAAGACCTAAATAGACACCTCTCCAAAAAGGACATACAAATAGCCAAGAGACATATGAAAAAATGCTCAACATCACTAATCATCAGAGAGATGCAAATTAAAACAACAATGAGATATCACCTCACACCTGTCAGAATGGTCACCATCAACAAATCATCAAACAACAAGTGTTGGCGAGGGTGTGGAGAAAAGGGGACTCTAGTACACTGCTGGTGGGAATGCAGACTAGTGCAGCCACTATGGAAAACAATATGGTGTTTCCTCAAAACATTAAAAATTGACCTGCCTTAATCAGTGGGGGGAAAAGGAGAAACATCTGAAACAAAAAATAATTAATGAAAAAAAATAATAAATAAAATAAATAAATAAATACATACATAATTGACCTGCCTTTTGACCCAGTGATCACACTTCTAGGAATATATCCTAAGAGGCCTGAAACACCCATCAGAAAGAATATATGTACCTCTATGTTCATAGCAGCACTATTTACAATTGCTAAGATCTGGTAACAGCCCAAGTGTCCATCAATAGATGAGTGGATAAACACGCTGTGGTACATATACACAATGGAATACTATGCAGCTGTAAGAAAGAAAGATCGCTTATCCTTTGAGATGACATGGAGGGACCTGGAGAGTATTATGCTAAGCAAAATAAGCTAGTCAGAGAAAGACAAATACCACATGATCTCACTTATTTGTGGAATATAATGAACAAAATAAGCTAATGAACAAAATAGATTCAGAGATGTAGAAAGGAGTATAGTTCAGACTGACAAACCTCAGAGGAGGAGGGCGGGAGGGGCGGGGGGAGGTGAGATAAACCAAAGAATTTATATGCTCGTATGCGTAACCAATGGATGTAGACATCAATGCTGGGGGGTGGGGGGATCAGGAAGAGGGTGTCTGGGGGAAAAAGGTGAAACATCTGTAACAAAAATTAATTAATGAATGAAAATAAATAAATAAAACAAAGCCAAACGAATATGGTATCATTCATTGTATATCTCAAAAGAATTTTAATATTATATTAATGGCATTATTAACCAGAAAAACACTACTTTAGTTCTATTTGATTATAAAATCATTGAATCTCAAAGGTAGAACGGAGCTAAGAAACCGGACACCTTAAATAAACATCCATGTTTCCCAAGGCAAAATCGTAAGAAATTATGTGGTGTCAAAAGGAAGCAGGTATGAATCATGAAGCACAGAAGAGGTTCTACCTTGAACTGCTGTTGATCTCCACCCAGCCCAGTTTCCATGACACATGAAGCAAAAGTCCACCAATTAACGTCTGCCACCTGAAATGAACAAGAGCCAATTTGAATTATTTTTTACATGTTGTTCATTTTTTTTTTCCAATCTGAATTTAATAGAATGCCATGGTCCCAAAAGTCATAGCCCCGGAAGATCTATCGACTGACACAAATATACACATCCAATCCTTCTTACGATTTTTTTCTCCCACTCTCTCCTAATTATCATCCCAATTCTCAGACCGGTCCTTTCTGACTTCTACTTACTCCCTTGAATCTATCTATACCATTAAGTGCTGACACTGGTACTCTTCTTATTCTAGACTTACCCTGTACAACCTCACTCACAGCCACCTCCTTCCCCATTGCCTCTGCACTGATGACTCCCAAGTCCCCCTTCTCACCCAGATACCCCAGAAGCTCCCAAATATAACATGCCTAAAACATTACCTTGAACTTCCCCCCCCCCATCCTGATTATCTTCCCACTCTCCCTAATCAACCAAAGGAGAAAGCTAGATGTAGCCCTAGCCCTTCCTCCATCCTCACCTCTCTCATTTACTTGCAAAATCCTATTGATTTTTACCCCCTTAACAGTAATCAACTCTGATGCTTCTCTTCCATCCTTTACACCTCTGACGACTTCAAACCCTCATCATCTCACACCTGAACCACACATTAGTCCCTTCTCTCCAGGGTTGTCCCACCCCAACCAGTCTCTACCTTGAGGCCAAAGGATTTGTTCTAAAATATAAACTTTAGCCCTGGCCGGTTTGGCTCAGCAGTTAGAGCGTCGGCCTGCGGTCCAGAGAGACCCAGGTTCGGTTCCCGCTAAGGGCATGTACCTTGGTTGCAGTTTGTCCCCGGCCCTGGTTGGTCATGCAGGTGGCAGCCACTCGATGTGTACCTTTCACGTCAATGTTTCTCTCTCTCTCTTCCTCTCTCTCCCTCCCACTCTGAACAAAAAGTGGAAAAATGTCCTCGAGTGAGGATAAAAAAAAAAAAAAGCTAAAGTATAAACTTTAGTCCAGCCAGTGTGGCTCAGTGGCTCTATCTATTTTTAAGATAGTTTGATATTTATTTATTAATTGTACTGTTTAGCATATATATATATATATACACACACACACACATATATATATATATAGATGTGTGTGTGTATGCACTAAATAATACAATTTATATACATATGAAGTTTTTTGTTTGCCCAACTGAACTGTCATGGAAATATAGCAGTAAATGTGTCTCCTATTACTAGTATGTTTCTATTTATCCTTGGTATTCCTGCACTTTCTGTTTGATAAATGACGATGCCCTGTTGTTTGGTTGGTTCAGATATTCATCACCATTTCATTTTCACTTTGAACTGCATGCTCCAGCATTATAACATGTTATCTGTCTCCACTTGTTTAATGCTTTCTGTCCTGAATTCAACCTTGTCTGACAATGGGATCATGGCCCCTACTTTTTTGTTTGCATTTGTGTAATATAAAAAAAGGAATAAAAATGAAAGATGAAGAGCTCTACCACATATTTTAATGCTTTAATAATTAAAACAACTTAGCATAGCCCCTTTCCATAAAAGTTGACAAACACATACTCAAAAATAGACCCTATACTAGACTTATCAGGGTGATCACTTCATAGGTTATAAAAATGTCTATCCACTATGTTGTACACCTGAAACAAATATTTTATGTCAACTGTCATTGAAAAAAAAAAAGCTAAAGAAAAAAATTTATTACCAAGATAATCAAAAATAGACCCTAGAAAAATAACTTTAGCCCTGGCCTGTGTGGCTCAGTTGGTTGGGCTTCATCCCATGCTCTGAAAAGTGGCCAGTTTGATTCCCGGTCAGGGCACATGCCCAGGTTGCAGATTCCATCCTAGTTGGAGTTCATGGTGAGGGGGCACTGATTGATATTTCTCTCTCACCTCTCTCTCTCTCTCTCTCTCTCTCTCTCTCTCTCTCTCTCTCCCTCTCCCTTCCGGTCTCTCTAAAATCAATTTTAAAAAACATTTAAAAAAAAAAACAAGTTTACATATTATATTAACAACCCAAAGGCAAAGGAAGGGTTATAAATAAAACATAATAAATGGGAGCCCTAGCCAGTGGCTCGGTTGGTTGAAGCATTGTCCCATATATCAAAAAGTTGTGGGTTTGATTCCCAGCCAGGGCATGTACAAAGGTTGTGGATTCTATCCCCAGTTGGCGTACATATGAGAGGCAACCAATCAATGTTTCTCTCACATTGATGTTTCTCTCTCTCCCTCTCTCCCTTTCTCTCTCTGTAAAAATCAATAAAAACACATCCTTGGGTGAGGAAAAAAAAACAACCCACATAAGAAATAGGGCCAGTATAAAAGAAACTATTAGGTGAGGGATGATTTCTTCACATTGCATCATGCACAAAAATAAATGGATGATGATCAAGAATGAAATAAAGCTTTAATGAAATGTAGGTAAATATCAACTTAATTTTGTGATGGAGAAGAATAAGTGTAAAAGCAATGGTGACTCACAAAAGAAACTACCAATATATTTTTCTACATAAAAATAAAACATTTAAGCCCAACCAGTATGGCTCAGTGGATTAAGCGTCATCCCATGCACCAAGAGGTCACAGTTGCATTCCCAGTCAGGGCACATGCCCAGGTTTCCTGTGGGAAGCAGCGAGTCAATGTTTCTCTCTCATCAATGTGTGTTTCCGTATCTCCCTCTCCCTTCCTCTCTCTAAAATATCAATCTAAAAAAATGTTAAAAAAAAAATTAAAAAATGAAAAGATGGGGGGGGATGAGGAGAAAAAGAGAAATGTGAGTGTCAGAGCAGTACATATCGCTCTTGTAATACCTAGACTATTGACCTCACCCTACATCTTTTCTCCTTCTGTCTTCTTTCTGATAATAGCATCTCTCCTCCACAAGACCACACACTGGATTCATCTTATATTCTCTCTGTTGCTCCATTCTATTTTTTTTCTTCTTTTATCCTCACCCGAGGACATTTTTCCATTTTTTGTTCCGATAGAGTGGGAGGGAGAGAGAGAGAGAGAAACATCAACGTGAAAAGGACACATCAAGTGGCTGCCTCCCGCAACACCCAACCAGGGCCAGGAACAAACTGCAACCGAGGTACATGCCCTTAGTGGGAACCGAACCCAGGTCTCTCTGGACCGCAGGCCAACGCTCTTAACTGCTGAGCAAAACCGGCCAGGGCTCTGTTGCTTCATTCTTATGTTCAAATAATAAATTCTCTATGATGTGACTTTTTCAATATTTAAATTATTAAAATAATTATAAAAAAAATAAAAAGGTAAAGAACAAACAAATTGCAAAAACGAAATATTACAATAAACATAATGGACAAGTGTTTGGCATCCTTAAAAAATAAAGAATTCATTAAACTGCTAAGAAAAATACTAAAACCCCTGTAAAAATAAAAGGGTAAAAGGCACAAAAAGAAAATTCACTGAAAACAAAAAAGTTACAAGTGAGTAATAAACATAAGAAAACTGTTCAACTTCATTAATAATCTAAAAAATTACAAGATAAAACAATGTGATACCATTTTTGGCTCATGAAATCAGCAGAAAGAAGAAAAAATAGTCATATTTTGAGTATAATATTATAGAAACTTTCATCTACAGCCTGGATGACAATTTAAATTGGTAAAACATTTTAGCATAAAAAAAAATTGTTAACATTTAAGAATACTAAAGAAGTTCTCATTCTTTAACCCAAATTTCTTATATAGGAATCTATGCCAAAGAAATAGTTGAAAATTTGGCAGAGTTAAATACAAAAAATATCTGATAACTTTGTGGTGTTTATACCTCCCAAATTAGACACAATTTCATGGGCCATTAATAGAATAGTTTAAATAAATTACACTATGTTTATTTGGTGAAAAATCTATGCAGTCATTAAAAATATTTTAAAGACAAAGGATAAAGGGGTCAAATATATGGTGACAGGAGATTTGACTTTGTAAACACACAATGAAATACATAGATGATGTATTATAAAATTGTATACTTGAAACCTATATAATTTTAACTAATGCCACCCCAATATATTTAATTTAAAAATTTTAAGTATATATTTTAAAGAACATTTAATGATGCTAGTTGAACATTTCCTACAGATGTGTATAAAGAGCATAAAAAATACTCACCCTTGGAACAATGTAGGGTAGGTAAATTTCAAGACAGACAGGACATACTGAAAAACAAATACCAGATTAACAAATGTTTTCAAATTATAGAGAATTAATAGACTACATAATCAAATAAATCTCTACCGAAGAAACATAAGTACACTCAAGTTGCAAAAAAGGGCCTTTATTCCCATCCTCTCCCCACCAAAATCACACACTGGGAAAAACACACACACACACACACAAAACCTTCCAAGTTGTGCTAAAGAGAGCGGGCCTGCTTTCCCCCCGAGTTACCAAATGGGGAATAAACTGGTACCATGAGCAAAGTGGGTTTGATGTTGGGACAGCTGACCACTCAGCATCTTCCCGGAACCCGGAAGTATCATGTTGTCACTGCAGCAACTCCAGAGAAAACCAGACAAACTCCTGACTGCAGTCAGTTTTCTAAGGGTATCCACTTTTTCTGCTATCCAGTTTACCTAAAAATCTAAGCCCCTTCTTTGTTTCCCTTCAAATAAGAAGTGCATCCTAGGCCCTGGCTGGGTAGCGCAGGTGGTCAGAGCATCTTCCCATACACCAGGGTTGTGGATTTGGTCCCCAGTGAATAAGTGGAACAACAAATCACTGTTTCTCTCTCTCTCTCTCCCCCTTCCTCTCTCTCTAAAATCAATAACTGTTTTAAGTGCATCCTAGTTTTTCCTTTGTTTTCTTTCTATTTTTAGGATTTTGTTGGTATTCGCATTCTAAGAATTTTTTTCTAACTAATTCTGCTTAGGTGTCACAATTTTTGCTGTGCTTTAGCATTCTAAGCATTTTTAAAAATCTTCACCTGAGGATATGTTTTTATTGATTTTAGAGAGACAGGAAGAGGGAGAGAGACAGAGAGCAAGAGAGAAACATCGATGTGAGAAACATCAATTAGCTGTCTCCCATATGCACCCCAATGGGGGATCAAACCTGCAGCCTACATATATGCCCTGACCAGGAATTGAACCTGCCACCTTTGGGGGCATGGGACAACACTCCAACCAACTGTGCTACCTGGCCAGGACTTAAGCATTTCTTTGAAAACCAACTCAGCTAAGATCAACTAATATTTCTGTTGTCTTCTAATGAGATTTACAGCACTTTATAAATGGGGGGATTGTGTTGTGTCCTTCTGGATATCTTTTGCTGCTTTTTCTATTATTAAACACTTTAAGAATTTTTTTAAAGCCTAAAATTATTGCCCTGGCTGGTTTGGCTCAGCGGTTAGAGCGTTGGCCTGCGGTCCGTAGAGACCCAGGTTCGGTTCCTGCTAAGGGCATGTACCTCGGTTGCAGTTTGTCCCCGGCCCTGGTTGGGTCGTGCGGGTGGCAGCCACTCAATGTGTCCCTTTCACGTCGATGTTTCTCTCTCTCTCTCCCTTCCACTCTATCTGAACAAAAAAATGGAAAAATGTCCTCTGGTGAGGATTTTTAAAAAAGCCTAAAATTATTAAATGGCTTTAGAAAGAGCTTTACTGATTCTTCACATGCTCTAAAAAAAATGGAATAGAATGGTGTTGGGCAAGTTTACATATGGATTTTACCCCCATGGACTAGCCTACACATAATTACCCTTGTATGAGTTCCTAAATGTCACAATTCTGGCTAACTGCACACTGGTATATATTTATTAGAAATGACCTTCATTCTTCTCTGGGCTGTTTACTCACATAATTCAATATATTACTCCCACTTTTCCCTGATATTTTCATTCTAAAACAGAGATAAAGGATTGAGTGAATATTTGAGCTATATCCTGCATCACCCTTAACAACCTTCATGAAGATAACAAATATTTACTCAGTTTATTGTGTGCTGAGCTTTGTCCTAGATACTGGGGGAGAGAAAATGCTGAAGTTCCCACTTCACCATCCTAAAGAGCAGTGAAAAAACAAAGAAATCTCCAACAAAGAGTATCCAAGTCCTAAACATTTCTCCTTTCAGCAATTCCTCTAATCACTAAAAAGTGTTGCTGAGAGAGAGCAAAATGCTGTTTGGGAGAATAGCAATGACAGCTTCTCAAGGAAGAAGGAGCAATTTGGGAGCCTTTAAAAGAATAGATGAGGACTTTGCCTCCAACGGAAGGCTTAATATCTGGGAGGGGAAGGACAGGAGGCTGCGTGGGCCCTAGGTCCGGTTACTGCTGGAACCTCCCACAGGATGGAGGAACGTGCCACCCTGACTAGGCCAGCCAGGCCAGGAAAGCCAGAGCATTTGCTGTTCAAACTCTGACCAGAAATCAACCATTCCTTTAAACAGTAATGAGACTAAGGAATGAAGCTAAGATGTACAAGATTTTCTTAGTGAAGTTTCTTTATACAAATGGAGATGGGAAACAGTTTAAGAAGAAAACTACATAGAAATATGACAATAAAGAAACCAGCACATAGCTCTGGCCGGTTTGGCTCAGGGGTTGGAGTGTCAGCCCCAAAACCAAAGAGTCGCAGGTTCGATTCTAGTCAATAACACGTACCTGGTACCTCGGTTGCGTTTCGGTTCAGTTCCCGGCCCTGGTAGGGGTCCTGCGGGAGGCAGCCAGTAGATGTGTCTCTCTCACAGTGATCTCTCTCTCTCTCTCTCTCTCTCTCTCTCTCTCTCTCTCTCTCTCTCTCCCCCTCCCTCTCCCCTCCCCTCCCTCACACTCTGAAAAGAAATGGGAAAAAAAATGTCCTCAGGTAAAGATTTAAAAATAAAAAGAAACCAGCATAGAGTGTTCTAAGAACTTGAAGAAAAGATCCTCTCTTGTAGACACAAAAGGACTTCACTATTCAAAAGAAAAATCAATTTAGCAGAGACTGGATGCGGAAGGATATGTTCACGAGATGCCCACTGTACAGCTTCTTTCCCACTTGGCCCCTATTTGGTCCAAGCCCATTCGCCTTGGCTGCCATAAGGAAGCGTGACTGTCCTGGTTGAGAAGATGAAACAATAGCCCCATCTGAGAGTTACTAAGTCCCTAGCAGAGTCTCATTATGAACAACCACTTCTCCCACCCCAACCTGGGTCTCCGTCACTCTTCACTTCACCTCCTCTTTCTACTCTGTCCTCACCTCCCCTTCTCTCTGCTTTCTGCTGTTATTGTCCTACTATCCATCTAGCTCTCAACACTTACCAATAATCCTAAAACAAAGCATCCAAACCATCATGGAAAATGCAGAATGATGTCTTTGGCTTATTGTTTAAATTCTGAGGGCCCTTGAGAATCTATTACTTCTATTACTCAGATCAGATATTCCTGGAAGCATGAGGATTTGGTTTATTTTTACGTAGCACCTTGAGACGATGCACATAGAAGGTGCTCAGTCTTTATTATATTAATTATAAAATGCTATGGTGTCCCCAAAATACAAAAATAATGTCACAGACGCAAATGTATATCCAGAAGGGGTATAAATATCAATGGACTAAATACTGTCTGCCTGCTGGATTTTTTTGCTTGGGATGCAAACCCATCTCTGCCTCCCAGCAAGTAGGTATTAATGGATCCTTAAAGGCCCATCACCATAACTAAAAATCAGCCGGACAGAAAGAGGCTCCAGTAGCATCCTCTGAATGTACTTAAGACAGCCACTCCACTAAGAAACACAGTACAAGGAAATGTTGTTTGTTAATGATTCTTTTCCAAAGAGCAAGTAGGTTTGGGGGGCGGGGGGAGAGGGAGCAGTAGAGACCCTATATTGAGGAAGGTGTCTAGCCCAGAGTCCCCACCCTAGCCAATCTCTCTCTGCTTATAGCAAACCCAAGTTCAGCTTCCCCCTCCTAACACAAAACATCGTGCCACTGCTTTTTCTGCCTCTTCATAAAAAGGGTTTCATGACATTACTTTAGACAAATTAAGTTTACATCTGTGTGTTGTTTTTAATCCAAGAAACCCTCTTGTATATACTGGAAGTGCTAGGGATGGTAACATATTTTTTAAGGGTTTGGGAATCAGTAGTGTGAGGTGAAGATGGAGATGGACTTATCTCGCCTATTTAAAGGCTTCTGGGATCTTGTGGGGTTCTGGGACAGAAACATGTTTAGAAAGAAGGCAGGATGTGTCCACTTTCTTCCCCTATTCTTCCTTCCCTGAGGAAATTGGAGCCAATTGCTTTCTTTCCCTAAAAGTAATCCACACTGCCCAAAATGAAGTTCCTGCGAATTCGACAGTCAAAAAATCCGGCTTTCCAGGAGATGTACACACTGCTTTACAGGACGGAACACGGGGCAGTGCAGTCCAACAAATGCTATTTCTAAAAGAGCATCCCGCACAGTCGATTTCTTCTCCATCAACATCAGGGGGTAAATCAGATTAAAAGCTGGAGGCAGCATCTGTTCCACGTACAATCTGGGGCTCAGATCTCCCACGTGGAATCCTCGCTTCCCCGCGCCCGCCCCTCTCACCTTGTTCGTGAGGTAAGAGGCCAGGTAGCAGGTACAAAAGGTGAGGCCGACCAGGCACCTCCTCATGCACATCTGTCAACTTGAGGCCCTGGCCGGGGACCCCGCGGGAACCCCACGACTGCCGCTGGAGCTGGGCCGCTGCCTGGACGGCTACGTGGCTACGAGCTCCACCAATCGGCTCGGGGACCGCCCCTCGCTCCCCCCACTACCCCTGCTCCTGGCTCTTAAGGGGGCCGCGCCTCTGTAGGGCCCGGCCTACTGGCGATGGGTAGGGGGCACCCAGCTGGCAGAATGACCTTGGAGGAGAAACTAAGTCTGCCAGGGCTGCGACCACCTGTGGAGAAAGAACGGGCAGTCATCATAAAAAAGTAGGAAATGGAAGAAGGGGGGAAAAAAGACAGTTCATGACACCCTTTTACCATTTAAAGAAAAATGTTCATAGCTATCTCTACAGGGTGGGACTAAAATGTTGTTGGTGCTCTACTGCGTTTCCCCAGATTTCTGCGTTGAGTCTGTATTACTTTTGCAAAAGACACACAAAAAAAGCTAACAACAATAAATGTTATTTTATAAGAAGGAGGACTAAGGGGGAGGGAACTAGAATGAGTATAGTATTTTTTTTTTTTTTTTAAGAGAAATAATTCCAATGTGTTGAGATTTACATAAGACGTTCTTCCAAAAGGGGATTTTCAAGCACAGCCCCTGTTACTGGTTTCTAGGGTGGAGAATTGACCGAGTTAAGCTTCTGGCCAATAGTAGTAAACATAAACGAAAACATGGTGATGGACTTTGTCAGGAGCTAGAGGTTCAACTGAAGTATTCGCAACATGTAGAAACACGCAGATTTTTAGAAATACCACACACACCAGAAAACTTTCGTGTTTTGTTTTTTTTTATGTGTATTTCCTACTTAATATTGTGTATCAAACTATATTATCCGAGCAAACACTGGATGTATTGTTTCTACATAAAAGACAAATAAACTAAGAAGTTATTTTCTCTTGACATTATTTTAGAGCTAAATTTCAGAGTTAAATTGTCCTTACAAAGAAAATTTTTGCCCAATAGAGTTTTCTTGAACCAGTGATTGATTTTATTTCCTGAGATTTCTCTAAGCTCTTTTAGTAGATGAACAAATTCAATTCAGACCTTATTATTTCCTAGTTATTGCTTCACTTACTTTCTTTGAGAGAATTTGCTTAACAACCAGTACAGTTAAGAACCATGTAAACAGAAGTTAACATTTGTAGCAAAAGAAGTATTGATTTTTTTCTGTTCCACAAAGCAAACTAAACTAAGACTGAATCAAAATAAAATCATCAGGTCTTTCGTTGAGCTACTATATATGCGATTGAAGACATTCTATACACATGAAAAGATCTAACTACTTACATTGTTAATTGAAATCTTTGAAACCAAAGGATACAGTTATTAATTTATTGTCTTATAATGAATCAGTAATTGCTCAATAAATGTTTATTGAATAAAAAAGAGGAGCTTGCATCAAACAATACCTTGTGAATTTTTTCCTTTACAAATCTTTTTTTTGTTTGTTTTTAATATGTTTTTATTGATTTTTTTTAGAGAGAGAGGAAGGGAGAGAAAGATAGAAACATCAATGTGAGAGAGAAACATCAATCAGCTGCCGCATGCACACCCTACAGTGGGAAAATGGAGCCCGCAACCAAGGCATGTGCACTGACAGGGAATCGAACCAGGACCTCTCAGTCCATGGAACAATGCTCAATCCACTGAGCCATACCAGCCGGGCACAGATTTTTTTTTTTTACAGCAATCATGGAGAATTTTCAAAATATGGCAGAAACAGCTATATACTTTTTGAGACTCCCTAAGTTCACCTTTAAAAACAGATATAACAGCCCTGGCAAGTTTGGCTTAGCGGTTAAAGCATCGGCCTGCGGACCAGAGAGTCCCGGGTTCGGTTTCCGCTAAGGGCACGTACCTCAGTTGCAGTTTGTCCCTGGCCTCGATTAGGATCCTGTGGGTGGCAACTAGTTGATGTGTCTCTCTCAAATTGCTGTTTCTCTCTCTCTCTTCCTTTCTCTCCCCATCCCGCTCCATCTGAAGATAAATGCAAAAATGTCCTCGGGTGAGGATAAAAAAAAACAAAAACATATTAACAGCAACATTCTTATGAATATAGATACAAAAATCCTCAACAAAACACTAGCAAATAGATTAGGTAATATAAAAAAACGTATATGATTGGGTAAAAAATAAAGCATGGTTGATCTAAAAAAGATTATACACATGATCAAGTGTGATTTATCCCAGAAATGCAGGGTTGTTTTAACATACAAAAATCAATTAATGTAATACACCATATCGATAAAATAAAGGATAGCCCTGGCAGGTGTGGCTCAGTTGGTTGGAGTGTCATCCCACATACCATAAAGTGGTGGGTATGATTCCCAGTCAGGAAACATACCCAGGTTTTGGGTCTGATCCCGGTTGGTGTGTGTTGCGGAGGCAACCAATGGATGTTTCTTTCTCACATTGATGTTTCTCTCTCACTTGCTCTCTCTCTCTCTCCTTTCCTCTCTCTAAAATCAATTGGAAGCCCTGGCCGGTTTGGCTCAGCGGTTAGAGCGTCGGCCTGCGGTCCAGAGAGACCCTGGTTCGGTTCCCGCTAAGGGCGTGTGCCTCGGTTGCAGTTTGTCCCCGGCCCTGGTTGGGTTGTGAGGGTGGCAACCACTCGATGTGTCCCTTTCACGTCAATGTTTTCTCTCTCTCTCTCTCTCTCTCTCTCTCCCCCCACTCTATCTGAACAAAATATAAAAAAATAAATAAATAAATAAAATCAATTGGAAAAATAATTTTAAAATAAAGAACAAAAACCATACCTTTATCTCAATAGAAACAGATACAGCATTTGACAAAATTCAACACCCTTTAAAAATTGTTTTAATAAGCCCGGCCAGTGTGGCTCAGTGGATTGAGTGTCAGTCCCATGGACTGAGAGGCCCCGGTTCAATTCCTGGTCACGGCACGTGCCTGGGTTGTGGGCTCAAAAATTGTTTTAATCTAGGAATAGAAGGGAACTTCCACGAAATGCATCCATGAAAATCCTACAATTAGCATTATACTTAACCATGAAAGAAAATGTCTTCTTCCCTAAGGTTCATGAATAAGAGAAGGATGAACATTCTTGTTGTACTTATTAAACATTGTATTGGAGGTTCCAGGTGGACAATAAGGCAAACACATTTTTCAAAAGTCATCCAGATTGCAAAAAAGGTAAAAACTATCTCTATTACATATGGCAAGATTCTGAATATAGATAATCATAAAGAACACACTACAGAAATACTATTAGAACTAATGAGTTCAGCAAGGTTATGAGATACAAGAACAATTCACAAAAATCAATTGTATTTCTATACACTTGCAGTGAACAATGTGGAAATAAAATTCGAGAAACAATTCAATTAAAAATAGCACCAAATAGAATAAAACACTTAGTAGTAAATTTAGCAAAATAAGTGCAAAATTTGTACTCTGAAAAGTGCAAAGCATTATTGAAGAAGACAAAATAAATGGAAAAATATACATGTTCATAGATTGGAAAATTTAATATTGTTAAGATGGCAATATTTCCCAACTCGATCTACAAATTCAACACAAAACCTCATTAAAATTTGAGGTGATTTCTCTGCAGAAATTAACAAGCTGATCCTAAAACTCATATGGAAAGTCTTTAAAAAGAAGAACAAACTTAAATGACTCACAGTTCTTAAATTCAAATGTTACTACAAAGCTACAGTAGTCAAAACAGTATGGTACTAGTATAGGGATACACCATAGATCAATGGAGTAGAATTGAGGTCCAGAAGTAAACCCTCACATTTATGCCGAATTGATTTTGACAGGGGTGTCAAGACAATCTAGTGAGCAAAGAAAAGCACTTTTCAACAAATGGTGCTCAGACAACTGGATAGCCACTAAAGGTGGACCCCTATCTTATACCATACTCAAAAATTAACTCAAATGCTATGTGAAAGAAGCCAGTAACAAAAGACCACATATTGAATGATTCCATGTATGTGAACTATTCAGAATAGGCAAATCTATAGATACAGAAAATAGAATAGTATCTCCCTGGGGCTGGGAGGAAAGGGTGAGGAGAATGGAGAGTGACTGTTAAGGGACATGGGTTTCTTTATAGGATAATGAAAATGTTCCAAAACTGACTGTCTTGATGGTTGCACAATTTAATGAACATACTAAAATCATTGAATTGTACTGACTAAGTTATATGGTGTGTGAATTATATCTCAACAAAAGTGTTATTTTTAAAAAACCAGACTGCCCTGACCAGGTGGCTCAGTTGGTTGGAGCATTGTCCTGTGCACCAAAAGGTTTAGGGTTGGATTCCAGTCAGGGCACATACCTAGGTTTCAGGTTTGATCTGAAGTTGGGGCCCATATGGGAGGCAACCCATCAGTGTTTCTCCATCAGATTGATGTTTCTCTCCCTCTCTCTCTCTAATCCAACAGAGACATCATCAGTTGAGGATTTAAAAAAACAACAACAATAAAAAAAAAAAAAAAAAAAAGCAGAGCCCTGCCCTGGCCTGTTTGGCTCAGCATTTAGAACATTGGCCCTTGGACCAAAGAAGTGGGGGTTCGATTCCGGTCAAGGGCATGTACCTCAGTTGTGGTTCAGTCCCCAGCCCTGGTCAGGATCATGTGGAAAGCAACCAATCAATGTGTCTCTCTCACATCTCTCTCTCTCTCTCTCTCTCTGTCCCTCCCTCCCACTCTATCTAAAGATAAATGGTAAAGTATCCTTGGGTGGGAATTTTTAAAAAACACAAAAAACAGAGCAACAAAACTACACCCCATGAACAATATCTACCTCAAAACTAAGACAACAATAATTACCCTTGAAGGTAGTTGTAACTGGAAGAAGGCACGAGGTGTATTTCTAAAATGCTGGTAATATTCTGTTTCCTGATGTGGATGCTGATTCCATGACGTACTCAGTTTGCAAATATTAATTTTAGTTGTATACTTACTACTTTGTATTTTTTAGTATGTACAGTTTAATTCAATAAAAGCACATAGCACAAAGGCAACAATATGGAACATATGAGAAAGTAGTTAAGA